GTTTATTTTTGAGAGAGAGACAGAGTATGAGCAGGGGAGGGGCAGGGGTAGAGGGAGACACAGAATCAGAAGCAGGCTTCAGGCTCTGAGCTGTCAGCACAGAGCCCAAATGGGGCTCGAACTCTTGAGCTGTGAGATCATAACCTGAGCCAAAGTCAGAGGCTTAACCAACTGAGCCACCCATGTGCCCCCAGGACTCTTCATCTTGTAAATATAAAATGCTGTAGGGGGTGTCTGGCCGGGACAGTTGGTAGAGTGTACTACTCTTGGTCTCTGGATTGTGAGATCAAGCCCTACGTTGGGTGTAGAGATTACTTAAAAATAAAAACATTTGAAAGAAGTAGATAATAAATAAAATACTATACCCTTACACAGCAATTCCCATTACCCACTTCTGTCCCCTTTGCTCAGCCCCTGTCAACCACCGTTCTACTTAGTATGAATGTGACTACTCGAGGTATCTCATATAAGTGGAATCATATAATATTTGTCTTTTTGTGACTGGCTTATTTCACATAGCATAATGTCCTCAAGGTTCATCCATTGTGGTAGTGTGTACTAGTATGTACTTCCTTTCATTGCACTGTAATGTTCCATCATATGGATAGACCTCAATTTGTTTATCCATTCACCAGTTGATGAGCTTTCAGGTTTGTACCCAAACCGAATAATGCTACTATGAACATTTGTGTATTAAGTTTTTGTGTAGACATGTATTTTCTCTTACATATATTCTGCTGGATCACATGGTAACTCTATGTTTAGCTTTTTGAGGAACTGTGAGACTGTTTTCCAAAATGACCGCACCATTGTACATTGTCACCCTCAGTGTACGAGAGTTCCAATTATCTCCATATCATCACTAACATTTGTTATTGTGTGTCTTACTGATTATAGCCATCCTAGTGAGTGTGAAATGGTTGGTTTCTCATTGTGGTTTTGATTTGCATTTCCCTAATAACTGATGGTAGTCAAGCATCTTTTCATGTGCTTATTGGCCACTTGTATATCTTCTTTGAAGAAGTGTCGATATAAATCAATTTTGAAATATGATTTTACTTTAAGGATAACGAAGAGTTGAGAGTTAGTTGCCCAGTGCCTGCAGAGGATGAACAGACAGACTGCACCTCTGCCCAGCAACTCAGTATGAGTACCAGTCCTCCATGTACCGCTGAGCTTCCTGCACTAAGGTACAGTTTCAGTATAGAAGATCTTCCACATTGAAATTACTTTTTCTTCTGATCGTTTGCTTAGGTGTTTTTGTGTGCTGTATTAAGTCTAATATCAAGCTCTCTTTTCCTTAGCACAACTCAGCAAGTAAAGGATCCAATAGAGGATTCCACTGTTCCGAAGGATGTTCTCAACCAGACAACTATACCAGTTTCTTCCCCGAGTACTGCAAAGCCATCAAGGACAAATAGTGCTTCACCATGTAATAGTAACATAAATGCAGCTGTAGCTATGGCCCTACAGGTAACTTGATGAGTTTGCTATGTGAGAAAAAAACAATAGGTTAAATAATGAGATTTTTTTTGTTGTTTCCCGCATAAGTCTTTGCTAGAGTAGAGTCATTGGAAATAGCCCAAATTGAGGCTGCCTGCCTCAAATGAAGCTAAAGGAATTTAAAATCACTGTGAGGAAACAGGAAATTTTAGCCTTTGGGAGATAGTGAGGAAGTCACTATTCATTCTGGGTTTTTTTAATGGCTTTTTTCTGATCATCCTATAGTTAAGTGAAGCTTCTTTCTTACTCAGATTATGATGAGTGTATTGTTTTTGGGCTAGTGTAAAGAGGCTTTGAGACCCTTGAAATTCTTTTTTTATAATGCTTATTAACAAGTCTTATGAGGGCCACTCCTATTTTTATTCAGTTTCCAGAAATTGTTTTTATAATTAGGGAAATACAGAAAAGCAAGGAGAAAAACACAAAATTTATGTATAATCTTTTCATTCATTGATATAACTAATTGCAGTTTGGTTATAGTTCCTTTTTTCTAGGTTAAGAACAGTTTATTTTGTTATTTAATAATAATAGAATGGCAGCTACCAATTACTGAATAGCCTGCTCTATGCCAAGACCAGTGCTAAAGACTTTTTACATGCTTTATCCCATTCTCATAACACCCCTATTGTCCATTTTTTTCAGATGAAGTAATTAAGACTTACTCAGTCCTCTATTAATACATTATTGGTTCCCAGATGCTGTTAAGATTCTCGTGGAATCCATCTTAGGGTTCTTTGTAGCCAGGGAGGACAGAATAGAATCATTTCATTTCATCACATGAATGTACATTATTAACTTAATCTGTCCTTCCTTATTAGACATTTAGGGTTGTTTCCAGTTTTTTTCATCACCGTAAACAATGCTGACATGAACATCCTTCAGATAAATTCCTCAAGTGAAGTTATTGTTACATAAATTGCCAAGGCATTTTATTATTTTCAGCGAAGTTACTGTGTTTTTGTTTTAAGATTGTTCCAATACACTTTAATAGCAATGTGTATGAGACTGCCTATTGCCCTTCCCTAGAAGATGACTTACTGGGGTGCCTGGGTGGTTCAGTGGGTTAAGCATCCAGCTCAGGTCATGATCTCACAGTTTGTGAGTTTGAGCCCTGCATTGGGCTCTGTGCTGACAGTGTGGAGCCTGCTTGGGATTCTCTGTCTCCATCTCTCTCTGCCCCTCCCCTGACGCACCCTCTCATAAATAAATAAACATTACCAATAAATAAATAAATAAATAACTTGCTGATTTTCTTATGGGTCACATTATCCTTTTTTTTTTTAATGTTTATTTTTGAACATTTATTTATTTTTGGGACAGAGAGAGACAGAGCATGAACAGGGGAGGGGCAGAGAGAGAGGGAGACACAGAATCGGAAACAGGCTCCAGGCTCCGAGCCATCAGCCCAGAGCCCGACGCGGGGCTCGAACTCCCGGACCGCGAGATCGTGACCTGGCTGAAGTCGGACGCTTAACCGACTGCGCCACCCAGGCGCCCCTAATGTTTATTTTTGAGAGAGAGAGAGAGAACATGAGCAGGGGAAGGGCAGAGAGAGAGGGAAACACAGAATCCGAAACAAGACTCCAGGCTCCGAGCTGTCATAACAGAGCCTGATGCAGGGCTCGAACTCCCAAACCGTGAGATCGTGACCTGAGCTGAAGTTGGACGCTCGACTGAGCCACCCAGGTGCCCCTCACACTGTCCTTTTTGTAGCTTATTATTTAGACAATGTGTACCATAAGTTTGTTTCTTATCTTCCCTTCAAAGGAACCCCGAAAGCTAAGTTATGCTGAAGTGTGCCAGAAGCCCCCTAAAGAACCATCTCCAGTTCTTGTGCAGCCACTACGAGAACTTCGCTCCAATGTAGTGTCTCCCACCAAAAATGAAGAGAATGGAGCTCCTGAGAAGTCCATTGAGAAATCACATGAGAAGCCAGAAGCAAGGGCTAGTAAGGAATATTCTGGTTTCCGAGGCAATACCATTCCCAGGGGAGCAGCTGGAAAAATCAGGGAACAGAGACGCCAGTTTGGCCATAGGGCTATACCTCAGGGAGTGACTCGACGTAATGGCAAAGAGCAATACGTGCCACCCAGATCACCAAAGTAAAACAAACAAACAAACAAACTATTCAGAAACTTCTCTCTCTTCCCATTAAAACTTGAGCCGTGGCTGTATTGAACTGTTCTGGAGGGGAAGGGGTAGCCAGGAAGGAAGCAGGAGAAAAGTCTATGTCCTTAAATCATTGTGGATTTTGGAGTTGTGAGCAGTAGAATCCCAAAATTCATCTCTAAAGTGATTTTAAAATGCTGGAGGATTCCAATCAGTATAAATATATATATATATATATGTATACATATATAAAAATATAATTTTTCTATTTTTGTTTTTGATTTTAATTTGCAGAGATCTTCTGCCTAGAATCAATTTTGAGGGTTCAGATTTAGCTTGGGGAAAAAAACATATTACACATCCTTCAGTATAGGAGATGAGGGAGTGAGAGAAAATATTTTTTGAAGAAGCATTTCTGTAAAATTAGAAATTACTTTTTTTAATCTATTTAAAGTTTGGCTTGGAGAATGCCATCTCTGCCTATATGGCCTTGTGTTGCAAAGCAGATCAGTGGCTGGAGTGCCTGTTGTGGTGTGAGTGTGTGCAAGAGTGATTGAAGCCAAATCTGTTGTCATGTTAGTAAATGATTTGCAAACTGAATGTAATACTGGAGTAGATTTTTTTTTTCCATTTTGAAATTCAGTCTGAACAAGCTGTTAAACTCTGATTATACTTAGAGATGTGACTATCAGTCAGCTTGATACTCAAGGAAAGAATGGGGGTTATTCAGAAAATCAAAAATTTGTTTTAGATCTGAGTGGATAGGTCAAATGGACTTCAGAGGTTTAAACTGCTTTGTGATTTCCTGCCCCCCCCAATAGGAAACAGGTTTTTTTGTTACTTCATTTGTTTGTTATTCTCTGTTCTTTGACTACCCACCCCCAAAAGCAAAATAACCACCATTCTACAGAATTGTATGTTTCTAACTGCCTTGACCAGTCTAGTCAAATCATATAACTGTTTTAAATTTCCGAATTGAACATTGAAGTAGTTTATTCTTCTGTTCACGTGTTTAGAATTTTAGATCCCAGAATGGTAGGTCAGACTGACCCTGCAGTAATTTATTGGTGTGTTAAAGATGAAACATTGTAACTGATCCTTAAAGTATTAAATAGTGTAGAAGTAAAAAAAAAAAAAAATTTAAACTTAATTTGGGGGCAACTTTTTTCTGTTTACAGTATATTTTATCATCTTCTTCCTTCCCTTTCTCAAAAAAAAAGAAATACAGTTTGAAATTCACAGAAACAGAACCAGCAAGTCATGAGATTTTTGAGTTAAGGTGAGAAAGATAGTTGAAGAAAATTAATACATACTTTCTCAGTGAATAAAGTTGTAGCTGTCATATTTAGTAGGCAAGTTTACATGCTGGTGTTTAGAAAATGGCTAAAATATTAAAACCATGTTGCATTAATCTGTTTTAAGTCAGATCATTTTTAGAGTTCTATGTAAGGTGGGGTTTTGTTTTCTTTTTAGGGATAGTTTGTAATGGTAATAACTGTCCCTTATGTTAGTGAATTACATATGTACAAATTGAAACTGTAAATTGTGAACACTGGAAAGCACCATTGTGACATAGAGTAAACATCTTAGTAATATATTAAAATGAATGTAAATGGAGGTTAAAATTACATTACTGTGAAACTCATCTTCCAACTCTAAGTTAAGCTTTGGAGATTTGTATTAGTAGGTAACTAAACACTGCACATTTCTGTACAAGCCAGAATTATCATTTCTTTGTAACTTATTATTCAGCTTGGCAGTTGCTTTTGATTTGGTGAATTGATAACATGGTATATAATATATTTAAGCAGTTTGAAACTATTCATTTCTACACACTATTTTTTAAAATCATATATTAGAATGAAACATACAATAAAACTACCTGTGCTGAAATTTGGGGGAAGTTTAGGTCCTTGAAAAAAAAAAAAGTATTAATAATCATTGACTACATCTATGATAAAAGTGCTTATTTTGGTTTACTTAGATAATGCTGCAGTTGGTGGAAATGATAAACATTTAAAGTGTTAACACTCTGTGAATGCCTTGGATTTAAGAGAATAAACATTTTATAAAAATCACTTGGTAAGGATTATAAACTTAATTATTGCACTTAAAATGAAACTTTACTTTTCTTACAATGTGTCACAGAAATACGCTTGTATGCTGTGTGACTTACTGTTAGTCCACCCAGCTTCCCAAAACTAAATGTTCTAACTGAAACAAAGGAAGAGTCTTCTTCTTGAAGAAAGCAACTGTGTTCTTGCTTTTTTCCCCCCAAAATGCTATTGAAAGTAGAAATTTAAAGACATAATTGTTTTTAAATTTCTTATAAAATAGTGTTTTTAATTTAATTTGCCTCATTACAGCTAATAGTTCCCAGTTTGGTGGGATGTATACGGAAGAGAGAGAGAGAGTGTGAGTGTGTGTGTGTGTGTGTGTGTGTGTGTGTGTGTGTGTGTGTGTGTGTGTGATATATATATATATTCACAGTATTTAGCATTTATTTTATTACAGCAAATTTAAGGTTTGTATCTAAATGATGCCTATGAGTTGTGTGAACTTGTTTGGGGTTTTTTCCAGCAGTTCTCTGTAACTGATGCGGGTTGGGCATTTATTGTAGTTCAATTATTTATTTGGTTCTTTAGAAGGAGGAATTTAAATGTCATTTTTTTCTCTTCATCCTTCTGACTTAACACTTCCTTGGGCTGTTGAAGGCTAAAAGTATATACAGATGATATTGAGTGCATAGTACAGTGGTTTTCTGTCATAGTTCTTAACTGCATGAAGAGAATAAGAGTCACACAAGTTCATCGCTTTGCACTTCATAGAGAAGGTATACGGAGATACTGCAAACCTGTCTCTGTTTCCTGTGCTGATAATTGAGGTTTTCATGATCTCTAGGGCCTGCCTGTCTCTATCAGTTTTGCAAATATAGACACTGGCATTCAAAAGAGTGATCCATCTATAACTTTATTCAACTGGATTTTGGAAGAAGATAAGATCTTTCAGTGATAAGGGTTTATTGTTGTTATGTGCTCGATTTGCATGTGATCAAATGACATGCCGATTTTTATTTTCAGTTCCTAAAATTAAGGTAGCTTGAATATTGTTTCACATTCCTTTTTAAATAACCAGGTTGGCTTTGCAAAAGGCTTAATAATAATGGAGTGTTAGCATCTGCTGGAGCAGAAAATAGTATTTAAAAGTTACTGAACACTTTCTTGAGCTTTATTAGTTACAGCCTTAATATTTAGTCTCTTGGCTTAAATATCCACTGGTTTTACTTTGACACAGTTGAACAGCACTGGGGTTAGGTCTCCTGATATTTGTGTTGGGCATGTACATTAACCCTGTTTTAAAATAACATACCCATTTTGTTTTTACAGAAAAGATAAAATGCAAAGAGGACAGTGTGTTCCTTTTGAGGATTTTTATAAATTCTTAATTATATGATGAGGTTTTTTTCCCAACTTTTTATATTTCCTTACGATTTGATGGTCATTAATTTAACTTTAGGCTTTTTTGGTGTATGCTAACTTAGCTAGTCTGAGCTTCCAAGAAGATACATAGACATTTCAGTTTTTAATTAATTGAATAAGGACATTTTAAGAAGTTGAAAGAGAATTTGTTTTCAAGTTGAGAGTAAATTTTCTTTCAGAATCGTCTGATTATTAAATAATTTAAAGTTTATTTTAAAAAGTAGCAACTTTTTATGAATTGTTGAGTAGACTGTTCCTAAAAAAGTACAACTCCTATGTCAACAGGCTGTGTATAAAATAAAATGGTTTTATTTTCAGTTTTTCAGCACAAAACACTGATCAGTATATATAAGGAAACATCTATATCAAGTTGGGGTTTTTTTTTGTTTTGTTTTTTTTGCCTGATTTACATGTCTTTTGAGTGACCCCTGTCAAATGTTCGGGGTCGGGGATCAGAACCAGTTATCCG